TGTTAGCATAATCTATGCTCCGTGTTTTGTGCTACTGATTCTGAATGGCTCTCTCATGACTCCGGACAAACTACTCTTCTTAATGCTTCTTATCCCTTTTCATATATGAAATCCTGGAATGAGTCAGGTTACCCGTTGTCTGTGATGTCACAGGAAGGCAAGTTCCAGTAAAAATTGGGCTGAATAAGGAAAATCACTTTAAGAAATTGGGATGATGAGTTGGACCTGAGAATTGAGGGTTGGATTTTTGATGCACAGAAAGGGGACAGTACTGAGGGGGAAAAAAAAGACACTAGTTGGCAACAGAGTGAGAGTGGCCCAGTTTATGCAAGTATCCAGAAGAAGGAGGCCTTGAAGTTTGGAAAATCGTCAAATGCAAGTATTTGAGTATTCTAATTTTTTACTTGGAAGCTCAACTTTTATCATTGCAACAAGTACTTTCTGTTGTTTACTTAGAGGACTTGCTCACTTGTTTTATTTTTAAGAAAACACAATCAAATACAGAAATACAAATAAATAGAGTTTATTTGTCAATCATCCTTCCAAATAAAAATAGTTTTCCATTAAAATGTTAGCTGTTTGATTTTTATTTCAAACAATCACATAGTATTTTTTTAAGAGAGTGAGAGAGAGAGAGAGAGAGGGAGAGAGAATGAGAGAGAATTTTTTAATGTTTATTATTTTTTTTAGTTTTCGGCGGACACAACATCTTTTTTGTATGTGGTGCTGAGGATCGAACCCGGGCCACACGCATGCCAGGCGAGCGTGCTACCGCTTGAACCACATCCCCAGCCCATATAGTATTTTTTCTTAGATAATTGCACTTTAGTATGTAGTAGAAATGCTTTACGAATACATTCAATTTCATCAGTCAATGTATTAACATATATTACCATAAGGGTTGAGGTGTTTTTTTTTAATTCCTAACTGAAGATGATGGCTGCTGCTGCTCCTGCCTCCCCCCACCCCTCACCCACCACACCTTCTTTTTCTGCATGTGTATTGTACTGAGGAGTACAAACACCAAGGTTCAGTGTCAGTGTTGTGATTCCTGCTAAGACACTCATAGTTTCACCCACAGCTGATCTTGTACCATCAGGCCAAATATCAGCACAATGAAAAACAGCCAGAGAGAAAATCCTTGCATGATTTTGAAAATAATTTTAACACACAAACTGGCTGAGTGATGCACAGAGTTTCACAATTCTCCATGGATAACACTTGGAGAACTGCTGCTCTGTAGTCTAGACAAAGGAGGAATATCTACGCCTGCAACCAGTCTTAATGTGTCCCTGGAGACATTCCAGAAATTCCCTTTGGCATTTTATGTATTTTTTAAACTTTATTTTATTTTTTTATTTGTACAGTAGAGAAAAATGTTATCTTTTAAAAATATTATTTAATGAAGTAGGCCAATATTTGGAAGATCTGTAGGTCAGTGAATCAATACTTTCCAGTGACCAAGGACTTGATGATACAGTCATGTAATTGGTTAAAGATGCATTAAAAATGCAAGATACATTAATGTGTTTAAAATTGAAAAGTTTGTTGAGTTTTTCAGATTCCACTTTGCAACTATCATTTGTTGAATTTTGTATCGAAATAGAATATCCATGAATATCTCATAAGGATATTAAAATCTATTATCCTATTTCACATCTGTTTGATTCCCGATTGTCTTTATAGATTACCAACCAAATGAGCCATTACAGGATGTTAGGTAAAAATACAGATAGAAAAATTGTAGATGTGATATTCATGTCTGCCCAGCTCCCATGAAGGGATGCGATGGTGTGAGGAGGGGAAGAACAATTGAGAGGCTACTGGAATAATCCATGTAGACAGCCAGCATCGTCTGTGCTGATGGTAGCTGTAGAGGTAGAAAGTGGTTCCAGTGAGAAAAGAGATTTCAAGACAAGGACTGTATAGTTTAATAAAACAATTTTACATGTAAAAAATAAATAAGGAGGCCTTGAAGACCGCTCCCCAGTCACACTAGGGTTCACTCCTCAATCGTTTCCAGGTACCTGTACATATGTGATGGAGTGGAAGCCACCTCAATGCTCTCAAGGACTTCAATTCCTCCCTTTTCCCTTGGAAAAGCTCCTGATCCCACCTCCCTGACATGCATGCACAAAATCATCTGTTTTCCTCGTGACATTTATTAGCAACTCATCTTCCAAGTTTCTCAGCCCAAGAACCTTAAAATCATCTTTGTACCTTCTCTTCCTCCCACACCTCATGACCAGCATGTTAGATTTATCATCAAAATATACCTAGGGGCTGGGGTTGTGGCTCAGTGGTAGAGTGCTTGCCTAGCATGCATGAGGCACTGGGCTCGATCCTTAGCATCACATAAAAACAAAAGATAATGTGTCCACCTAAAACTAAAAAAATACATACATAAATAAATATGTTAGAAAAATATACCCAGAATACCATGACATTCAATAATTATTGAATGAAAGGATAAAACAATGGGGTCTTGGCTTCCTTGAATATTTGTAGACATCCTAATACCTAAAACTTTTAAAATTCCATTATTTTCTTTATTATAGACAATACCATTCATAAATCCTCAACAACCACCTATGTCCAAGCAATGTAGCATTAAAGTGTAGGTTAGAAGGCAGAAAGTGCTAGGCCTGAGACACGATTCTGTCAGGAGTTTGATGATCTTAGGTCCTTATTTAACCTTTCTAAATCTCGGTGTCCTGATTACATAGAAATCCTAGTAGTTACTCCATACAGTTTTTATGAGAATTAAAAAAAAATGAAGTGCTTATTTTAACACTCAGAGTATACAGTTTAAAATGTTAATATTTTCCCAAATCCCACTGTCTGCTTCCCGCTCCTCTTTTTTCCTTAATCTTTCTCATGTCTCTTGTTTTCATGGGGTCTTGTCCTCCTGTCCTGGGTCCCTGGAATAATTCCCTCTGCTCCAGGCCCTTTTCTTGGGATTCCCTGCATCTCTCTCTTAACCAGTAACTAAAGTGTTAATGTCTGACATGGTGAACCTTCAGGAACCTGGCCTCAGTGTAGGCTGGTATCCCTCCTGATTGGGAGATGTTCTAGCTGGAGCACTCCACCATCTAATAGACATAGATTATGTGCCTACTGTGTGTCACTCTCTATCTTTGGCAGGTCTAAGTCTCCTCTTCTCAGTAGTGGAGCTTCCAGCAGTGGCCTATGGAGCCTGGTGCCTGGGGAAACAGGACAGGTGTCACTGAGTTCATCCTTCTTGGACTGACAGGAAATAGAGGACTGCAACCCATTCTTTTTGTCATTTTTTTCTTTGCCTATTTAGTCACAGTGGGGGGCAACTTCAGCATTCTGGCTGCCATCTTTGTGGAGCCCAAACTCCACACCCCCATGTACTACTTCCTGGGGAACCTGTCTCTGCTGGACATTGGGTGCATCACCGTCACTGTTCCTCCCATGCTGGTGTGTCTCCTGGCCTCCCAGTGCAGAGTTCCCTATGCCGCCTGCATTTCACAACTCTTCTTTTTCCACCTTCTGGCTGGTGTGGACTGTCACCTCTTGACTGCCATGGCCTACGATCGCTACCTGGCCATCTGCCGGCCCCTGACCTACAGCACTCGCATGAGCCGTGAAGTCCAGGGTGCCCTGGTGGGCATCTGCTGCACCGTCTCCTTCATCAATGCTTTGATTCACACAGTGGCTGTATCAGTGCTTGACTTCTGTGGCCCTAATGTGGTCAACCACTTCTACTGTGACCTCCCTCCCCTTTTCCAGCTCTCCTGTTCCAGCATCCACCTCAATGGGCAGCTTCTGTTTGTGGGAGCCACCTTTATGGGGGTCGTCCCCATGATCCTTATCTCAGTGTCCTATGCCCACGTTGCTGCTGCAGTCCTGCGGATCCGCTCGTCTGAGGGCAGGAAGAAGGCCTTCTCCACGTGTGGCTCCCACCTCACTGTGGTCTGTATCTTTTATGGAACCGGCTTCTTCAGTTACATGCGCCTGGGTTCAGTCTCAGCCTCGGATAAGGACAAGGGGATTGGCATCCTCAATACTATCCTCAGTCCCATGTTGAACCCAGTCATCTACAGCCTCCGCAACCCTGATGTGCAGGGCGCCCTGAAGAGGGTGCTGACAGGGAAGAGGCCCCCAGCATGAGCCGGACAGGAGTATCAAAATGTCCCTTCCTCCCTCCTTGATCACCCACCTAACTTGCTTATGCTGAAGGCCTGGGAGCGGGCAGGGGAAATCTTTAGCGTTGGTTCTAATGGTTCAGGGTAGACTTGGATGGAGGACAAATGCTAAAGAGCTTAAAGAGTATCTAAGTTACTGATAGAAAATGGACTAAAGACGGATGGGAGTAAAATTATAATGTGGGTCAGGAAATGAGAGATGAACTATTTTGTGGGTTTTTGTTTTAAATTTAATGACTGTTCACCTGACGTATTTAAAATGTTAATAAAAAGAAAAATGCTTGTCCCCACTTTTAGATGAACTACATTTGTATAAATATTATTTGGGGTTTTTTTTCCAGTTTCTTCTTTAAGAAATGAATCTAGGATTGTGATGTTAAGTTGGGGTTTGACATACTCTAGGAGCAGAGTGTTGGTACCTGTCAGAGCATCCTGCCGACACCTTCTTCAGAACAGGATCATCAGACACCTATTCCCAAAACCAGCGTTCACTTCCTGACTAACTCAGGTGTAGGCAGAACACACTTACATGCTAGTGTATGAGCTGATTCTCAAGACCCTCCTCCAAAACAATGAGGACGTTTTATTACACAGGTGTGTGAGGCCCTGCGTCTTTTCTTCCTAGCGCCTCCAACTTGATTTTTATCTCTCAACCACAGGCTCTTTCAGGTGACTCATGCCTCCCTTTGCTTAGAGTCACTACTCTTAATCTTCTCTGTGGCTCACAAAGAAAGACACTGTCACAATCATTTCGGTATTTCTTGCAGCTTCCTTTGCTCTCTCCAACTAGATCCCAAGCCCCTTAAGGATAGCTTCCATGTCTTATATTATACCACGTCCTCCAAACACCCAGCTGAGAGCTGAGTAGATAGTCCAGGTTCCAGCAGTCTTGTGGATTAACTGATAGTAGGAGGCATGACCTATGAGAAGAGACTTATCTTCTATCAGAGGTCAGTGAAACTGCCAGATGTTTTCAAAACACCCTAGAAGACCCAATATTAGGATGATATAAAGATATAAAAGGAATTTTTTTTTAAAAAGAAGTTTTCTTCTGATGCAGCAAAATGATCACTATATTTGGCATAATAGGGAGAAGTTTTTCTGACTGTGCATAAACCCCATTATCAGTTCTCCTTAAAATTAAGAAAAAACTGCTTGAAGCTAAAACTGAAGAAGGTGTCCCCTTGCGAAGAATTAAAAAAACAGCATTGAGTTGGCAAAAGCTGAGCACAGAGCACCAGAGTGGGAAATCTTATAGCGTCCAAAGACTGGCAGAATATTATAGGGATAGTGATAATAAATAAGTGATCATAAGTTATGCAAAAGTGTTTATCTTTCTTTAATTCTTGTTCTAAAGCGAATGGTTCCTAACTCTGCTATACAAATATGAGTAATTTGTGTTTTATGTAATAAATTTAAATAAAAAGCATATTTTTGTTCAAAAAGAAGAACGTCATTATTGACCTGAAAAACTATTTAGCAGATTTTGCTAAATTTAGAAAGTGATGGTGATGTGACATCTGAATGGGGGGAAGAGCATCCTGGTAAATAACCTCCGATTGTATGTGACGATTCCCTCTGTGGAGGGGAATTGTACTGGGAGGGCACTGAGAAATGGAGAAGGAAGTTGAGTTTTATCCCATTTATTCTGACATTATTTGAAGTTTTTCACCAAGTATTATAATTTAAAAAATAAAATAGATTTTTTAAAGTGCTAGTGGTGAAGGTGTGGGAAGGGATAAAGTGAGTTGGTGGTAATTTTTTCTCTCCAGCCTTCAAAGTGTTTGTTGTCATCCTCACCTTTGAGAAAACTAGTACATTGGCCTCTCCATCCTTTACAAGGCCACTGTGTCCATTTTCCTGGGATTCAGAGGCCTGGGAAAGACATGAAGTGGTTATCTTGTCCATCCCTCCTCTCCCAAATGGAAAGCTAAACCAAACTGTCTCTACCCTATAGAGAATACTTCCAATGGACCTTTTGCTTCTCCCCATGTCCTGGCCTGAAAACTAAAATCTCATGCTCCATGCCACACCAAACCTCATCTGTCACCCTCCTCAACATCTACCCAGCCCTAGCACCTCTGCCCGACTGCCTATTTTAACTCTTTTTATGTAAGTCCAGTTGAAGATAATGTTCAACCTTGGTTGAGATTAATGCGTGCCCTTTGTGAATGTAGGTTCAGACTCCTGACAGTTAAAGGAACTCAAAGCAATATTTTAGTCCACCTGCCCCAACTTCAGATGGTTCATATCCAAAGGAACACATTCCACGTCTTATCAGTCCTCAACACACCTGTGAATTTTGAGGCCATCCCATGACCCGCCTGTGAAGTGGAGCATTTGCATGTGTCTACCTGAAGATGCACCCACACGTGGCAACCATTCTACTTCCCACATCCTCCATCCCCCTTCCAGCCTACACCTGGAGTCTAACCATGTGTTCAGCACAGAGAAAAGTGCTCTTGGGATTCGGGAGAACTCTAGCAGTAGGTCACTTTCTCTTACTATTCTAATAGCACATAACAGTAGTTATAAAGTATTTTAAAATCTAAGTTTTCATTTGGATTTTGCAACAGCACAGTTGAATGTCATCCACAGTGACAATAAGGGCCAGGATTAGAGAGTAGGAAAGACAGCCTTTTTTTTTTCAATCCTTACTTCACAGATGAAAAAGGCAAAAGACAAGCTAAGTGATTTGCTAGAGTCTGTGAAGTTAGAGCGTAGAGCAGCCTCTAAGTACTGGCTTCTAGGCCAGTGTCTTCACCTCCTCCCTATCTTTAGAAAATCACTGAGTAGTTCAAAATTCACAGAGTGATACTGATTCTAGGTGCAACAAGTCTCAGAAATACAAAAGGTGGTAAAGTTGAATGAAGAAACCATCAACAGGACATATGGAGACCCCAGTCTAATCCAGGTCTGAAGCACTTTAGTGAGTTCTTGAAGCCTCAATTCCTGTATTTATAAAATTAGTCTCTTCCAAGAATTTTAGACTTTTTCATTCACCTACTACATGGTAAATTCTCAGACCCACACAAAATGCCAAAGGACAGAGGGAAATAAGTGACTATGGGCAATTAAATGGAAAGTTCTCACCAATAAAGCTGAGAACAGGTACATAAACCTATCAACAATTCACCACCGTGGATCTCTGATGGATAGACCTGGTTTTGGGGCATCAGCAACTGAACAGATGCCCAAATTGGATATGGTGGCCGTGAGCCAGGAAGAGATGTGAAGGCCTGAGAGGCAGCAATGAATGGAAACAGAAAGAAGTGACCTCAAGAAGGAGCCTTGGAACACTGACCAGAAAATATTTAACTTTGTTGTTAGAGTTTGTGTTCATGGAATCTGGGGCAACAAAAATAGCAGGGCCCTAGTGGGGCTCAGACATTTATTTGGTAGTTAAAGATGCTTTTCCAGGCCAGAATATCAGGAAGGGTAAATATGATTCCTGAATCTTTGATGTGGCAGGGAACAAGCTAGAAGGCCCAGGCTCTTGCTGCATCAGGCCACTCAGTGAAGGCATCATTGGGTGAAGAATAGTTTTTGAGAGCTGGGTCCTGGGCTAACACCGCCATATGACATCAGGTAAGTCGGCTCTGCAAGTTAATTTTTTTCATCTATGAAATGATTATTCTGAGGATTAAGTGACTTGAGCTTAGGATTATTGAGTTGATGTTAGGTATAGTGTAGCTGTTAAAATTCCATTAGATTTTTAGTTGAAGGAGTTACCATATTTCTACAGTCTGGGCTCTCTCTCTCTAATAAGGGGTAGAGCATGGATTTATCCACCCAATCCACTAAATTATAGTCATTCCAATCCTCTGGCAGGTGTACCACACTTGCCTGCCCTTCCATGAAAGAACTAGTGAAGGGCTCAGACCTGTAGAAACCACCGCGTCTTCCCCCCACACTGGGATTCATCTCTTGAGTCCCCACACTGATATATTTTGATATATAAGACAAGAGGAAACTAATTGATAAACTTTGTGAATTTCCGCAGCTCCACAGAGCCTCAGGAGTCTCTCCTCCAGCAACTATTTCCATTGAGACAGCCAGGGCCAGGATTGGGGACTGAAGTCCTTGTGAGTTCCATGAACAGAATTCTCTAATTAGCTCCCAAATGAGTGTTTAGGATAAGGCAGCCTAGGGGCTGAGGGAAGCCCAGGGATTTGCAGATTGTCTTCTGCTAATAAGACCAGGGGGAAGGGCCTCCTAGGAAAGAGTTACTTTCCTTTTGGTACTTAGTCTGAAAGGAACTGGGACCTTGGAGGGTGAAGGAGGCCAATTAACAATGCGTGGTTTCTGTAGTGTCATTAGCAAGACTCATTGGGTGAGGGGAGGGAAAAGGTGTTCATAAAGAGAAGGCCTGGCCTGGGCCAGCCTCCTGCAAATAGGAGCCAGTTGTTCCTGACTTTTTTGCCTGGTTATTGGTATTTTCATTCTTGCTCTCTTCAGCATACCCCACTCTCCTGTTCTCCTGCTCTTTTTCCTATCACAAGCTGTTTGTTTTTTTGATTCCATATTAATAAATCCATCTACTTCATAGTCTGCAATGGCTGTCATTTTATAACCGTGTCATGATTTATTTGATCAAAGCCCTGTCTTAACCCTTTGGATGGTTTCCAGTTTTTCACAACCAAGAGCTACACTTTGATAGGCCTTTGCACAATTTCCTGGAATTTTCAACAGTTTTATAAATTTGACAAACTTCAACTAGACAGATTGTATTACTTGACTTTCCTATCAATTCAGTGTGAGAAGGCCACTTCTCTAACCCTAACCAACCCTAGATATTACCATTCAAAAAATCTTTATGATGTGATACTTGAAGCACTATTTTTTAAGTTTTCACTTTTTTATGAGTAAGCCTGAGATTTCCATTTTAGATTAATGAAAATATTGACATTTTGTTATAAATGCTGCAAATGTTTTTCCTAGTACAGTTTTATCTCTTTAATGCTAATGGTGTTTTGTTAGTTTATATAGTCAGATAAATATTTATGACTTCTGTTGTGGCTCTCATTTTAAGTTTATAAAAATTACCACCTATTTTCTAGCATTTCTTTTATGACTTTATTTTATACATTTTACATTTTACAGTTTTTCTATCCAAATTCATTTTAGTACACGATATGATGTTGGAATACACCTTTATATATTTTTTAACTCTAGCTTGTGTCCCAAAATAGTTTCCAATAATTTGAAGTGTCACTTTTTAACAAATTATATCTATAGTATATATAAATTATATATATATATCTGTGTTATCTTTTTGTTGCTGTGACCAAAATACAGGAACAACTTAAAGGAGGAAAGATTATAGATCTATCTTGGCTCACAGTTTCAGAAGTTTCAGTCCATGGTCAGCAGGCTTCATTGTTTTGAGCCTTAGGTGAGGCATAACATCAGGGTAGAGGGGTGTGACAGAGGAAAGCTGCTCATCTAATGGCAGCCAGGAAGCAGTGGGTGGGGCAGGTGGGGCAGGGATATAGATCCCAAGGGCATGTCCCCAGTGACCTACTTGCCCCAGCTAGACCCCACCTCACATTAGTCCATTCAACTATCCATGGATTAATCCACTGATGAGGTCAGAGTCCCCATGATCCAATCCCTTCCCCAAAGCCCCACCTCTGAACACTGTTTCATGGGGGAACCAAGTCTTCAACACAAGATCCTATGGGGACATTCCAGATACAACCACAACATACACATTAGTCTGTGTCTGAGCCTTACATTCTCCACCATCTTGTGTTGGTCTACCGTGTTTCCAGCACTGCAGCCTCAGCTTCTCACAGTCGGATTTGCTTGGTTTTCTGGGAAGGAGTCCTCTGACTCTCTCCTCCCAAACCTTCTTGATTAATCTCACACGTTTTATCTTCCCGTTTAACTATAGATAGCATTATTTTGCAACTGGGATTTTCTCCCATTGAGATTTTACTCAGATCTATGTTAAATTTATAGATTGATCTGGGGATATAGATAGCTTTACAATATTGGATCTTTCCTGATAAGGTCATATATTAAGTGTTATTTCTAGAGAACAGTTTTGTAGGCTTCTAAAATCCAGAGATTTTTTGCCTTTTTATGAAGTTTATTTTTCAATATGTAACAGGTTTTTTTTACTATTATGAAGTGGATATTTTAATGTTAATATGAATATTTTAGGACTTTTGATACATCTTGCTAATTTTGTCTATCATCTGGATGGTGGCATCTTTGTCTCCATTGGGAAACAATCAGTGTCCATTTCACCATACCATCACAGTATTTTATTATTTTAAATCATTGCTAATTTGAGAGGCAAAATATGATAA